CTTAATATGGTGTATAACCAATATAAGTATTAATTATACATAGATTAAAAAATATCACCAAACTAGGAATTAATAATACCAAAACTGATACATATATTATTTTTCTCTAATACATCCTACCAAACGACCCCTATCGTATCATCCCTATATTAAAAAAAAACACTACATCTTTTTTCTTAACTCAACATACTTAAACTTATAAATATTCAAGATCCTCATCTTAAATTTGTATTATGATCATCTTGATTTTATTTCAATTTTTTGGGTAGGCCAAAACTGAGTTCCTTTTTTTTTTCTTTTTTTCTTTTTTTTTCTTTTTTTGAGAATCTAACTTTACAATACAAGATAGAAGCTCTACCATTTTATGATCTACTATTTAGCTATTAGCTCAGCTTTTAAATGTTTTAATAAAACTTGCTTCACATTTTCATAAAATAGACATTCTTCTAGAATTTTGATTCCGTTAGATGAGGTAGGAGAGAAATGAGTCAATCTTAGAAAACAAATTCCTACACATTTTTCAGTGGTTGCTTTGTGATTTATCTTCTTCTTTTTTCTTTTATTTTCACATTGAAATGCAGATAAAATAAAATAAAATAAATTGACAATATAGAATTATCATACCTTTCCTATTATTATCTATCATGTTTTTTATCCTAAATCTTCTCTTAAAATGAGTGTGGGCTTGTAAATGTTAAGGAAAATAAATGGGCCTTTTTCACTAGCTCGTACAAGATACTATTTACATAGGGTTTTGATATAGTTACTCATAAAAACAAAATTATTTACCCTTGTCTATCCATTTGTTTTTCTACCCATAAATTAATTATATTTCCTACCCATAATAGTTTTTGTGGGGAATTTTTTCTTTATTCTCCAATTCTTTTTTTATTTTTATGCTTCTTTTCTTCTTTTCTCCTTTTCTTCTTATTTTTTTCTTTTTTCCTTTTCTAATTTCATTTAACTTCTTTTTTTTTTTAATTCTTTTTCTCTTCATAATCTAATTTCATTTACCGTTTTCACTATTTCTTATTATTCTTTTTTTATACAATAAGAAAAAATAATTGATATAGTAAATATTTGTTCACATTTTTTTAATATAACTTGTACAATATACCTTCTATTTTTTTCTCATTTATTAAATTCAATTATTAAACTAAAATAATATTAGTTGTCACTTGATCTAATTCACTGTATATCACATTGATTGTTGTTGAGCACCATAAACTACATAATCAGATTCTAAGAATCAATACGTGATTGCCATGCAAACCTTGATCTGCTTTCCTATAAATATCAGTACACACTCTACCATTAGCAGTAATACAACCAGTTATAGAGCAAGAAAACATAATCTATGGCAACCAAATCTCCATATATACTAGTTAGAATAAAAATGACAATAAAATATTGAAAAATGCAACAAAAGTATAAGTAGCAAAAAAGACTTCTAGTACCATGTGATACCAATATGGTATATATGTATACCAACAGAGCATGTGATTTCTCTAGAATATTGCTACAACTATCTGCGACTATAATACTGTACCAAAACATTAAAGGACACAATAAAAGTATGAGAAAATTACATGCTCGTATTGCAAGTTAAATATTCGCAAAACAACTTGCTCATTTTGTATATTGCAAGCTAAATATCATGTGTATTATGTAATAGTTTTTATAGTTATAAGCAATTATTGGAACAACCACATAAATAATTTCATAATAAAATTCACTTAAGATGCAACTAAAACAACCAAAACAATGTTCAACTACCATATGATACCAATATGGCATATAACTATACCAATATGGTATACAATTTTACTAGTGAATTTCCGGCAACTATATGACTATACTATATTACATAACACACATGCATAAAGAGAAAAATAAAAAAATAGTGTACCACATATTAATATAATAAGGTATTTCAAGATATTGTAATATATTACTATTATTAAAAGAAAATCAAATATTGTACCAATTAAATGCAGCTAATACAACCAAAAAATGATTCAACTAGCATATGATACCAATATAGTATATAGCTATTCTAATAGGGTATATAGTTGGAATGAATTGTATACTAAAATGGTATATTTGTATACTATTTGAGTATACAATACAACCTCCAATCAACTTTCCAAACAAACCCATACAGGATCGGATCAAAATAATTAAAAACTCAAACAAACCAAGTTATGAGTTTCAAGCTTCAAGGTCCTTCAATGGTGGATTTAAATTTTTGTACAATAAATCTCCAAAAACCAGCATCAAAGGTACAATCCGTACATCAAAGAACAATAACTAACGAATCTATACAACTGTGGATGAAGAACGATTGCCACAGAAAGATTTCATCAACAGTGAGTACTTGGTTCATCAGGAAAAAAAGGAGGATTGTTGTTTTTTAGAGAGATGTTAGAAGCTCTAAAGAATTTGTCAAGATCAGTGTGGATTCTTCTAATGGTCACAACTGTGAACCGGATTGCTTGGTTTCCATTCACCTAATGGTCACAGGCTTATGTACAATAAATTTTGAATTCTTGAAAACAAAATATGTCATAAAATTTCAAGAAAAGAGCAGTTTTCTAATGCATAAACTGGACGATAGAAGAAAGAAAGATGGTTGGCAAGGAAAAAATCGGGTAAATAGTTTGGGCCTCATGGATAGGAGTAGTAAATAGTTTGGACCTGGGCATTAAAAGGTAAATAGTTTAGGATTAATGGGTATAAAGTGAGTTTTTCTCTATTTCTATTTACATTTGGTAGCCGAAAAGGTGTTTAAAATTTGTATAATTTTTGTATATAACATACATAATGTATATATATACAAATAAATACAAAAAAGTGTATATTTTTTCAGCTATTATTTTAAGAGCGGCTATACAGTATCATTTACCCAAAATACATATACACGAAAACACCGCGAGCTTGATTACTTTTTCATGACTAAGCACGTAATTTTTATTTTTATTTTTATAATGGGTGTGGTGAAAATTGGTCTTGGTACTTTTATCTTGTATAATACCATATTGAATTGTGTGACAGTCTCACCTAAAAACTTACGTTGGTAGAATATATAATTTTAATTATTTAATTATGTCTATAATACAAATGCCCTTTCCTATTGAGTAACTTGTCTAATTTATAGATTTTAGTTTATGACCAAAAGAAAGAAACTATTGTAGCATTTGAAGTTCTAGATGATGGAAAAATAAATTAGGACATCTAATTTGAAATATAGAGAAGAGTGTGGGGTATTATTTTCTTTTTATTTCTTAATCCTTTTGTATTGGCTAGCTAAGGTGGACTGTACACTAATTTTCTCAATTTAATCTTGGAATTCAAACATTCAACAAGTCTATCAAATCCCCTTTTCTTCTGGGCCATAGGAAAAGAAGATGGTCAATACCTTCTCAACTTGTTAAAAGTCAAATGAGAATAATCATGGAAATAAATCACCAAATGGAGATATTGACCATGTAATTAACATTGAAATCTTATTTGTATCCAATTATATCTTGACTAGCCTCAATTGCAAATAAGTTTGGCCGCACATAATGAGTTTAAGCTTTATGCACTGATAGTGTAAAAGCAGTTAAACAATCTGCTGATAACAGTTGCATGTAATTTTATACATGATAACCAACTTGTTATATTATGTTAAATTATAGAGTAAAGATTTTTCATATATAACTTAAATGTTTAAATCCATTTTATATCTTGACTACATATCCTTAATTGCTAGTAGAAGTTTGGCAACACAAGTAAGTTATTTTCCAGAAATCCAAAATGTGCCTAATAATTTGCTTGATTCCCTCCCCTTTTAGCTTTATTTATGCCTAATAATTTCACTTTCTTTCACGTGGAAAGGACTCCTCAAAATGAAGATTCGATACCATTACTTTAAATGTGGTTTTAGCACCCCAATTATAATGTTTTCTTATGTCATGTTATTCTTGTCATTTTTTCCTTTTGTACAAAGTTGCTACGCCCCTAAATAAAATAACTAAAAGAAAACTATTTTGTCTTCTTGAAAATTTGGTAATGGTCAAATATACTTCAAAAATTGATATCAGTTGCGACTTGTGACGTTGCATATAAAGATATTCAAATTGTTGGAAGATACATTTTCAACTTTTTATTGAGTGGAAAGAGTTTAGTCATTTCGTCTAACAACACGCGCATTTGGCCTTTCCCCACTCAATAATTCAATGCCTCTCCGCAGCCCCTAAGCCATTGAACCAATAGCTAATTCAAAGGAAATATAGGAGCATTTCAGTGCACGGAATATCTTGTATTCATGCAGGATCCAGAAAAGGGTTACATTTCAAAGAATGCAATGCAGGGGCGAAGCCACACTTTGGTTAGGGTGGTCAATTGACCATCCTTTGTTGGAAAATTAAACAGTGTATATAGATAAAATATTAGATTTTAAAGGTACATAACATCTATTGAACACCCTTTGTCGGAATTTTTTAAACTTATTTCAAGTTTTCTTCAGAAAATTTCTGACTTCGCCACTGGTATAATGTACCTGATGCAAGCATTAATAACTGCTTCAATGACTTGAATCTGTGACCTATAGGTCACACAAAAATAACTTTGTCGTTACTCTAATTCAAAGGAAATACTAGATTATATGTGTTAGCAAAAAATAATCCAAATAACTCCTGAAATTTGTGACTCGAACACCATAATTATAAAAAAAATAACTAACATGGTTAGGGGCGAAACCACGCTTAAGTTAGGGTGGTCACCTTAGTCGAAAAATTACACCGTATATATAAGTAAAATATTAAGTTTTAGAGGTTCATAATATATATATTGAATATCATTTGTCACATTTTTCTTTAATTTATTTCAAATTTGAATACCCTTGAGAAAATTTCTGGCTTCGCCATCGAACATAAATAAAAATAATCATGCACTAGCACAAAGAATAATTCAAATACACATTCCATGATTCCATCAAAGCACAAAAAAGAGGAACACAACATACTTACTTAGACCTTAAGCCAAGCACCATAATAGAATCAAATGAATCCCCTCTGTATTCAAACTTGAAAAATAAATTAATCCTAAAATCATAACATTTCTTGTAAATCCTAGCAAACCCATGTGACATTTCCACATAGCCACCCTTACAACACATTTTTTCCATATATAAAATTACAGATTTTTCAGTTATATTCTTCATTTTCCCAGTTTTATTCAATCTTGAAAAACCCAAAAAAAAAAATTCCTAAACCCATCTCATATTCTTGTAAATCCTCACAACCCCACTTGAAATTTCCACTTACAAACCCCAAAAACACAATCTTTGACACACCCATATAAAAAAAATTACAGATTTTTAATAGTTCTATCACTGGATTTTCATTTTCCCCAGTTTTATCTTGAAACAATCAAAAGATCCTAAACCCATCAATTTCATGTAAATGATTGCAACCCCACTTCAAATTTCCATCTAAATACCCTAAAGACACAATTTTTTAAAAAATTACAGATTTTTCATAGTTCTTGATTTTCATTTTTCCCAGTTTTGGTTGTGAGAATTTTAGCTTATTCTTGTAAATTCTCACAGCCCCATTTGAAATTTCCACTTACAAACCTCAAAGAAACAATCTTTCACACATACATATATAAAAAGTACAGATTTTTAACAGCTCTTGATTTTCATTTTTCCCAGTTTTGGTTGTGAGAATTTTAGCTTATTCTTGTAAATTCTCACAGCCCCATTTGAAATTTCCACTTACAAACCTCAAAGAAACAATCTTTCACACATACATATATAAAAAGTACAGATTTTTAACAGCTCTTGATTTTCATTTTTCCCAGTTTTGGTTATTGTGGGGAGTTAGATAATAAATGTCAGTTACTTGCGGAGTAGAATGTGTTGTAGTGTTAGGATGTATGCGTTGGGTATGGAAACGTTGTACTTACATAGGCAATGATGACAGTGCCACGTGGCAATCAGCAAACTATGAAGAATTTGAACCTGTTCCCCGTCTTTGCCGTACAATTCTTGCTGTCTATGAAGATGACCTTCATGACCCCAAATTTCCACCTGAAGGAGGCTATAGGCTAAACCCTGATTGGGCTGTGAAGAAAGTTGCATATCAAGAAACACTTGGTAAGTAAATTGCTGACATAGTTTCTAAGTACAGTGTCTAGCACGACGTAAGCTACACATGCATGTAGGGTAGGAGCTAGGTTACTACAAGAGGTTCAATTGAATCTCCTTCATTGGAAAATGATACTGCTTAAATAGGGAAAAAAGGTTAAGAGTTGCATATCAAGAAACACTTAGTAAATTTTCGCATTGTTGAAATAGATTTTTAGGATAATGCCTAGCACGACTTAAGCTCCAGGCAGAGGCGGAGCTAGCCTTTAGCTTATGAGTTCGGCTGAACCCACTAGTTTTGGTCGAAATCTTGTTTATGTCTTAAGAAATTCATTGAATATGTACAAATTATTAGTTCACAATCAGTAGCTTAAAAGGACTAGAATCCAGAACCCGTAAGCTTCAAATGATGGCTCCGCCTTTGGCTCCATGTGCATTCAGGGAAGGATCTAGGTTATAACAGGGGGTTCAATTGAATCCTCTTTGTCGGAAAATGGTATTGTGCAAATAGGAAAAAAATGTAATTTTGCAGAGTCTCAAACGGGTTTCTTAGAACATTGCCTAGCACGACTCAAGCTCCACGCACATGCAGGGGAGGAGCTAGGTAATGATAAGGGGTTCAATTGAATCTCCTACGCCGGGAGTGATAATGTGCAAATAGGGCAAAAACTTAAAGGAAAATTTTGTACAGTGTCAAAGGGGGTTGAAACATTAGTTTAGGTAGCAGGTTCAAATCATGTGTGGTGTGATATTCTAGTATATTTTGAATCCCCTTATGTGCATTTATGGCTCTAATATTGCGTGCATTTGCTCATAAACAATTTTATTGTTTTCTTTTTCCTTTATTTCCAACAATAATTTCATTTTAATATAATTTTTCTCTCTTTGTTTTTTCCAACAGGTAATGCTCCACCTTATTTGATTTACCTTGATCATGAACACCATGAAATTGTTGTAGCCATAAGGGGTTTAAATTTGGTGAAAGAAAGTGATTATAAAGTTTTGATGGATAATAAGCTCGGGAAGCAGATGTTTGATGGTGGGTATGTGCATCATGGTTTGTTGAAGGCAGCAATTTGGATGTTGAATAAGGAGTCTGAGACTTTGAAAAGGCTTTGGGTTGAAAATGGGAAGAGTTACAAGTTGATATTTGCTGGTCATTCTTTGGGTTCTGGAGTTGCATCATTGTTGACTATAATTGTGGCGAATCATGGGGATAGGTTAGGGGGTATTCCAAGGAGTTTAATAAGCTGCTATGCTGTTGCTCCTGCTCGGTGTATGTCACTCAACTTAGCTGTTAAGTATGCTGATGTTATACACTCAGTAGTTTTGCAGGTGAGTTGGTTAGTCGTCATTGATTTGGCTACTCTAATTTGGTACTATCATACTTTAGCAACATACTCTGAAAAGTGTTACTAGTTGTTTAATATTTTGTACATAAGTAGCTGACTAGCTTGTGATTGAAAAAGTTAGGTGTGGTGTTTAGTGTGATTTAGACTAAAATGATTGTTTAGTTTGTTGATTTAGCTACTAATTTTGGGCAGCAGAACGTAGGACGCTAGAGGAAAAGAACCAAATCTGAGGCTGATTACATAATATGTCCTTAAATATAGGAACAGGTTGAAATTTTTTGAATGTTTGAATTTTTTCGCGATCAACTTGTGATGAGTGAATGGTGAAAATGCCTTGGGAATGTTTTGATTATCATTTTATAGTGCAGATTTATGTGGTCTCTTGTTTATAGTTGCTGTCTCTGTGTCAAGATTCATTGGCATGTATATATAGAACTTGAAAAAGACATCATCAAGAATTTGGGATACTCGCATATGTAAGAACCAATCTAGCTTCTCAATTATTGCTGATACTTTGTTTTCACATGATTTTTTAGGAGACATTTGCATTAGCCTCTGGCAGTTTTAGTTCTTCTATAGTAAACCAAATTAATGCAGATTAAAGGTTGCACCATAAGTTTATGACAGATATATTACAGGTACCATGACTAAGAAGGTAGTCCGAACTTCCCAGTCAGACTATTAGAGACTTCCAAGTGGTCAGTTTTTTGTCGAATTAGCTTAGAGTTCCTCTTGTACCGAAAAGTAGCTCCGTGAATTCACTCCGTGTAACTCTTATCGTGTTCTGATCAATTGCTTATACCAGAGGTAGTTTTCTCTTGCAACTCATATCTTTAAGGTAATACAGAATAAGAATTAGATCTATAGTGTTAGATTGTCGATAGTGAGGGGGGAATTGAAGCCACTAGAGTGGGAGAACGGGAGTTTGTATGTGCCTTTAAGGTCTTTGGTGTGGTTCAAGCTCTTATTTGAGTGGATCAGAACAGCTGTTGGTTAAAATTCATACTAAGAAAAAATGATTAAACAAAATGGTATGTATAGCAAGTGAAATGCTTGGCCTACCCACTGATAAGAATTGGAACAGCGTCGGCTCTTTACATTGGTGGATCTAACCACTATTGATATCATGCTCACTCTTTTCTGTCAGCTACTGGTATTTGAGATTTAAATAATGGACCAGTCAAATTTTTGGGATATTGCGATAAAATGCTTAACGACAACAATGTTTGTGCTGTTTTTATTCTGAAATTTATAGAATTTTGATAAGATTCCAACTTGAGGATTTCTTTTCCTTCTATGATCGCCAAACTAAAATTGTAGAGTCGCACCCTAAAAGCCACGAGTACAATAAACTAGGTGTTGACTTATTCCTCATGAAAATCTGAACTTCACGAAACAATCATGTTCTCTGAATTAACATATCTATACTGGCTTCTTCTTCCTCAGGATGATTTCTTACCACGAACACCCACCCCACTGGAAGATATATTCAAATCCGTCTTCTGGTTAGTTCAATTTTCCTACGTTCTCTGGGTGCAGAACAAAAGCCCTTGAGTTTTCAAAATTCCTGTGGATTCTTTTTCTTTGGAGAAATTGTTATAAGTATCTTCTTAAACAGAGCGTTAATGCTTTCAACAGTTTACCCTGCTTGTTATTTATGGTATGCTTGAGAGATACCTTCATACCTGAAGGTAGGAAGCTCAGAGATCCGAGAAGATTATATGCGCCTGGCCGAATGTATCACATTGTTGAGAGAAGATTTTGCAGGTAAATCACATTCAAATAGTAATACTACTATTCCACAGTACTATCAGAGTTTTGCAAATTCGTGATGATGTTGTAACAGGCCTTTACGCTAAGTCTCTCAGAAAACACATTGTTCCTTGTAGTCTCTCAGAAAGAATATTTTACTCGTTTTCTTAATCACATTTATTGCTTGACAGATGTGGGAGATTCCCTCCAGATGTTAGAACAGCCATCCCAGTTGATGGAAGATTTGAACATATTGTGCTGTCATGCAACGCAACGTCTGATCATGGAATTATTTGGATACAAAGAGAATCAGAAAAGGCATTAGCGGTAAGAACTTTCAGAATATTTTGTCATTTGAAAAAAGGAGTCCTTCATTGATGATATCATTTGGAACAAACATGTGTGTCAAATGTACCTTGATCACCTGAAGATTTTCAAAGAGACAAGTCTAAAGTTAGGCCTTTCTTCATGGATAAGAAAACGAAGGGAGTTATGCTTTTCTGCCCTTCAGATTTTGATTTTCATGGCCAATGAAAAACTGCCTTTTTTTGGGGGGTAATAGCATTTTTCCCATGGCCAATGAAATACTGCCTGTTTTTCTCTAAATTCATATAGTTCAACTTTGTGCCAGCTGTCTGGTATTCGGTGCCAGAGGCGGACCTACGTTGTTGGTTGAGGGGTCACGGGACCCCGTTAGCGTTGGCAAAAACCTTGTATATAGATATATATGTTATATATATCTGCACACATATATGAGACCCCTTAAATATTTTACTTGTGACCCCTAACACAAAAGGGCAGACAGGAGAAGTGGTTGCTTTGGTCGGTCCAAATCCCTCCTTTGCTCGAAGACGTGGGTTCGAACCCCTCTTCAGCTTTTGCTCCTCCTTTTTTATTTTAGTTGTTCTCCTCGTTTTATTTTAATACAACGTAATGTTTGCTCCTCCTTTTTTATTTTAGTTTTTCTCGTTTATTTTAATACAATGTAATTTATACTTCATAGCAAATTGCTTTACTTTTTACTTTTATCTTCTTCATTTTTAAATTCAATTATAATTTAGCATTAATATATAATAATCAACTTTATTTTATTCTTTTTCAAATTTCTCCTTGAAATTAAAAGTCTCAAATTGCAACTTATCGCTCTACAAATAGAAAAAAACAAATCTTTCTGCAACAACATTACTTTGACGCACTAACAACTAATTCTTTGACTATCAACATACCCTTGATCTTGATTTCTTTAGTAAGTTTTTGATAATTTAAAGTTTGAATGCCTTTTTGATCGCTGACCCCTTTTTTTAATTGAAAACTCGAAATTTTGAAGTGTGAAACGTGCTTAATCAAACACCTTCCCTTCGCATAGCACCCATTTTGCGAAGAAATCTCTCCCTCTGTTTGATGCTTTCTTTTTCTTTAGAACTTCTTTTTGTTTATACTTGGATGATAAGTCATCATAATCATTAAGTTTTCAAAGAGTTGCACGCCGAATTTTATCGCTAGTGATTAGCATACAGTGGTGCCCCCGTCGTGCTAAAATCCTGGGTCCGCCTCTGTTTGGTGTATTGCTTTACCTTCATTCTCTTGGTATTAGTACCAGAATTTCATTCTTTGAAGTTTTCTTGCGTTTCAAGTTTGAAGTCTAGAAAAGCATTCTACTCCAATCCAGGTCATAGCGGAACTAGATTATCTATCAGCTTAGTTTCCATGAAAATGTTTCATTTCCGAAGATCCTGAAGTAGCAGAATACTGAGACATGATCCTTAATAGGAGGATATGGAGGTTGAAAATTAGGGTAGAAGGTTAGTGGTTAAACATGCATGTCTTCTGTTCATGCCTGTAGCATTAGTATTAGTCTCGTATTTTCGTTTCTCCTTATCCGCATATTTCTTTTACTACATGTTTCTTTCGCTTCGATTAATCTATCACCTTTACTTTCTGTTGTTACTACTTACTGTTTCTGCTTCTTTTTCATTTTTTCTGAGCCAGGGGTGTATCGTAAACAGCCCCTCTACGTTCTTAAGGTAGGGGTAAGGTCTATACGCTCCTCCCTCCCCAAACCATGGGATTACACTAGGTTTGTTATTATTGTTGTTGTTGTTGTAGTTGAAGTAGCAGAATAGTGTGTTATACCCTGCTATGTTTCTGCATGCTAGAAAGTCAGTCGTCATTTACTTGAATATATTTGTTCAAGGAAATATTTTTCCTGAGTAAGTGCTTCCCTGCAGAGGCTCAAGGAGGTTAGTGCTGAGACCACGACTACCCCACCACCAGCGCAGAAAATCGAAAGGCAGCACACACTAGAAAAAGAACACAAGAAGGCACTAGAAAGAGCTGTCACTTTAAATATTCCACACGCCGTGCCAACAGATGCAGATGATCAGGAATCCTCAGTGCACGTGCATAAAGAGGAAGAATCCACGACAGAGGCAGCTTCTCTCATAGAAGGCGAAGACGCTTCCACAAGCACAGGCCATTCCACTGATGCAAGAACTAACTGGAATGAAGTAGTTGAAAAGCTTTTCGCGAAAGATGAAACGGGGAACTTGAGATTGAAGAAAGAAGCAAGTGGTACTGAATAACAACTCCTTTTGAAGATGTTTTCTCTATTCTTTCCTTTTTCTTCAAAATTTTGTGATGCTTGAAGAAAAGTATTAGTCATGTTTCCACAATTCTTTCTATCCATAAGTCCTGTACATTTTTCTTTTGTAAAACACTATCTGAAATAGAATGTACAATCTAAAGCCCCAGAGAGGGGAATAGAAACCGAAGCATAAAGAAATGATGATTGGTTGTAGTTGCATTTTTATTTTGTTTTGTTTTGTATGTGAAATGCCTGAGTTGGCTAAACGAACTGTACCATGATTCTAGTTTTGGTTCTTTCCTTATTCATTCGTGAACTATAATAGAAAAAGGCAGCAATTCTTTTTCCATAAATTTCTTAGTTGTTATTGGTAATACCACAGTTTGATGCTAGAATAAATTCAGAAAGAAAACTTTTCTTTCAGATGGAAAGTCCATCACAGATATAATACCATCTTATAATTTTGCTTAAAAGAGCAGCTTAGTGCACTAAGCTCTAAGCTCCAGCTATGCTCTCATTTCTGCAAGAGGCTATTTTCACGGCTCGAATCAATGACCTCCTGGTCACATGACACCAACTTTACCTGTTACGCCAAAGCTGCCCTTTAACAAAGTTCCCCTTCAAATAATTTTGCTTATCAACTCTAAATGAAAGATTGACACAAAACAAACCAGCATAGAATATCCAAAAAGTAATCGTTGAAAGTTTTACATCAGAGAACATAGACTTCTGTTGAGATTGCTCGTTAAGTTGTTGGCACTCTTCCTTTGCAGCTTTCTTTTTTAGCTGTCTAACATCATACAATAAGAGTTGGTACCTGTATCAACGACGTACAGACATCCAAAATTGGAAGCTATGTATCAAGAATCCATCAACAGAGTAACAATAGCCAATCGGAAACAATATATAATAAAATGGAATGGTCTTAAATGAGAGGCACAAGCTTTTTGGAAAACTGATTGGCCAGACACAAACCACTCTAGTTCCATTCATTGATAGGTATTAAAAGGCTTCATCAAACAATCCCTTCATCAATATAATCACAAAGGCTAAGAATCTCAAGTATTACAACTGGAAAAGATCACTAGTTAAAAGAAAGTAGCCAGCCCTGAGCGGCTCTTCCAGTTAAAAGTCACAAGTTTAGCAGTTTACCATTAAGTCTGCATGGCTTCAGCACTGGCATGGTAGCTATCCAGCTCCTTGTCAAGTTCCTCAGCTGACTTCTTAGCACCCTTGTTGCTTGCCCTACCGTTGACCTGACCTCGACCACGACCGTGCCCAGGTGCATTTCTAAAACCACCACGGCCGCCCCTTGACTGTACAACAAAAGGGAATCCAGGTTAAGCACATGCAACCATGCACATCTACCATATTTATACATGTAATTGGCTTTTAGTTTTACTTGGCAGTGCAAAAGATACGCATATACTATTTTAGTATATTCCTTTTTTTTGTTTGGGGAGGTTTGGGGGGGGGGGG